TTAGGAATGTGGTTGTTTGGATATCAATATGAACAACGCACTATCGATAAAGTGAAACCACAAAGTTTATTAGAATTAACAATGGTTATTTTCGGCGCTCCTTATTATTTTTTCCTGAAGAATAGACATTGTTATGCTCTTCCAGAAGTAACATATGAAAATTTAGTTTCAAAACCAGAAGATACTCTTAGTGCAGTTTTTGATGTGTGTGGTATTTCAAAATTATTTATTCCAGAAGGAGTGGCTGCATTGCATAGAGATTCACAAGCTGGTACTATGATGAGTCGGGATAAAATGGCACAAGTGAAAAATCTTGAACTTACTGCATTGGATCGAAAAAAACTAAATGAATTAGTGAAAAAAATGGAATTACCTGCATCTTTATTTAATTTCTAATAAACTACAGTTTGCAAGCTACTATATTTTTTTCTTTTGTGGAACACGATTTTAAAGCACTGTTGAAGTATATAAGAATAGAAATTTGCACCCACCCTTCGGTCCAGATTTTGGACCGACCGGTCGGTATATCTAATTTTCTCTATTTTTACCTCATAAACTTGTTCAAAACCCAGGATTCTTAACGTAATGAAACTTAGCAGCGGATTCGAGTTTTTCCTGCTGATATTCGCCTGTGTAACTGTGCTGCCTCTATAATTGGTTCTACACTGTAAAAAAAATTCGTAGAATAATAAACCCTAAAAGGGTTGATGAAAGTGCAACGTATAATAAACCCTTTTTACCGTATGTAAAATTTTCCTAAACTCCTTTCAAAGGGTTTAGGGAAGGGTTTAGGAAGCTCATAAACCCTTTCATATATCTTTTTAAAGGGTTTAGGGAAGTGTTTAGGAAGCTCATAAACCCTTTAAGGGTTTATTATACGTTGCACTTTCAACAATCCTTTTAAGGGTTTAGGAAGTTCATAAACCCTCTCATATACCCTTTCAAAGGGTTTAGAAAATCTATAAACCCTTCTACAAACGCTCAAAAAGGGTTTAGGACACGCTCATAAACCCATCAAGAGTTTAGAAAAGGGTTTAGAAAATGCTCGTAAACCGATGAAGAGTTTAGAAAATAGTCATAAACTTATGAAAGGTTTAGAAATGGGTCCAGGAGATCACGTCAAATTTCCGGTTTCACTGAATAACTCTTCAAGAAAATCTTAAGTTACGTTTAAGCTTTAGTTAGTCGTAACAAAACCATTAGATTCAACCCTCCACGGAAAATCTTTAGTTTAGATGGAAGTTTAGTTAGTTCTAAGAATATCATGAATTACAATTTTCCATTGAAAATCTAAATTTAGGTTTCGATTGTTAGATGGTCTCAAGAGAGTTATCAGATACAATTTTCGGTGCAAAATCTTTCATTATGCTTAAACTTTTAGTAAGTGCTAAGAATATGGTTAGATTCATTTACTGATATAAAATCTGTCGTTACGATTAAGGTTTTAGTTGCTCGGAGCAAAATCATTTGATAGAATTGTTGATATGTAATCATTAGTTAGGATTAAAGTTTAAAATGTCCTACGATGGCTATTAGTTTCAGTGTTCCTTATAAAATCTTCGCTTACGTTTGAACTTTTAGCTTTTTCTAAGAAAACAATACAAATGCACTTTCCTATAGAAAAAGTCAAAGGTCTCCTTTTCTGAGAAAAAGCTAAAACTTTAAAAGCAAGTCAAGTTTTTATAGGGAAAACTGAAACTAATAGCCATCCTACGACATTTTAAACTTTAATTCTAACTAAAGATTACATATCAACAATTCTATCGAATGATTTTGCTGCGACTAACTACAACTTAAATCTAAACTACAGATTTTATATCAAGAAATGAATCTAACCATATTCTTAGCACTTACTAAAAGTTTAAGCATAACTAAAGGTATTGCACCGAAAATTATATCTAATATCTCGTTTGCGATCATCTAGCAATCGAAACCTAAATTTAAATTTTCCGTGGAAAATTCTACCTCATGATATTCTTAGAGCTAACTAAAACTTCCATCTAAACTAAAGATTTTCCGCGGACGATTGAATCTAATGATTTTCTTACGGTTAACTAAAGCTTAATCTTAACTTAAGATTAAATAAAGCCAACTCGATTTAATGATTTCCTTACTATTATATAAGTCTCAAGTAAAATAAAGACTTTAAACAAAAAATGAAATCTAATCATCTTCTTAAGACTGTCTGCAACTTTCATCTCAAATAAAGATTGTAAATAAAAAATTATCTCTACTGATTTTCTTAACACTATCTCAAACTTTGACTTTAGCTTAAGATTATAAATAAAAAATTAGATTTCTTGATTTTCTTAATATTATCTCAACCTTTCACTTTAACTTCAGATTATAAATAAAAAAAATTAGATCTATTCATTTTCTTAACATTGTCTCAAAGTTTGACTCTAACTTGATATTGTAAATAAAAAAATAGATTTATTGATTTTCTTAACATTTTCTCAAAGTTTGATTTTAACTTAAGACTGTAAATAAAGAAATAGATCTATTGATTATCTTAACATTATCTCTAACTTAAACTTAAACTTAACATTATTAATTAAAAATTATATCTATTGATCTTTTTAACATTATGTAAAACTTTAACTTTAACTTGAGAGTGTAAATAAAAAGATAGATCTGTTGATTTTGTTGACATTATCTCTAATTTTGACTTTAACTTAAGATTATAAGTAAAAAAAAAGATCTATTGATTTTCTTAACATTATCTCAAACTTTAATTTTAACTTAAGGTTATAAATAAAAGATAAATCTATAGATTTTGCTAACATTATCTTTAACTTTGACTTTAACTTAAGATTATAAATAAAAAAAGATCTATCGTTTTCTTAACATTATCTCTAACTTTAACTTTAACTTAAATTTGCAAATAAAAGGATAGATGTATTGATTTTGTTAACATTATCTCAAACTTAAACTTGAACTTGAGATTGTAAGTAAAAAGATAGGTCTTTTGATTTTCTGAAGATTATCTCAAACTTTATGTTTAGCTTAAGATTAAAAATAAAGAATCACATGCATTGATTATCTTAACACGGTCTGAAAGTTTCATCTTAACTTGCGATTGTAAATAAAGAATCAGATATATGGATTTTCTCAGCAGTAGCTTAAAGTTTAACCGTAACGAAAGATTGTGAATGAAAATAGAAATCTGTCGATTTGTTAGGAAGCGGTAGAAGTGTGAACTCAATGAGTGATTTTAGAATAAAACTTATATTTAACGATTTCGCGAAGTGACAAAGAGTGTAAACTGAACCAAAGATGTTGTATGAAAAGTTAATTGTAACAATTATCTTAGTAGTATCTAAAACATTTAAGCTAACTGAGTATTCGTCGTCGAAAAGATGCCTTATTTGTTGGTTCCGAAAATTCTAAAGTTTAATGGTAACTTATTGTTTCGTTTGAAAAGGGGATGTAATGTTTTTTGAAGGAAAATCAAAAAGTTGAATTTTAAGTGGATGTTTTGGGTAATAAAAGTGAATCTAGATTATTCATGAGAAAAAATTTTAAGTCTTAATATTAAGTGCATATTTCATATGATAAGTGAATGTGTAGTTTTTCGAATTGCAATGGAAAATTTTTGGCGTTACTCAGTATTTTCTTTTTTGTTTCTAGTCGTATTTGTTTCTTTAGGAATATGGGTACGGTTAATTCTAATTCAATGTATTCTGTTAAAAATCAATCGAAAGTTTTCTCATGACTATCTAAGAGTTGAATGGTAACGAAATAATTCGCATGAAAACTGAATGTAATTTTTCTTCCTATGAAAATATAAATGTTTAAAACTAACTCAATATTTTGTACGAAGTGAATCTGATTTTTTCCGAGGAGCAGCTCAAACTTCAGTACTGGCGGAATACTTTGTAGAAGAGGTAGATATTTCATTTTTTTTCACGGTAGAGATGAATGCTTAATTGTTTCTGTGGGAGAATTTCGGGTTTTTCAGAATGTAGAGTATTGATTTTGTATTTGACCTTCTGATTGGAAAAATTAATGCATCAGCTGTGGGCGATGGAATTGATGGGGAATCAGATTGAAATAACAATGTAACCTTGAAAAAACGTGATGACTATCATTGAAATATTCCTGAAGCTGTGACATACTAGTTTTACAGAAGAATTTCATAAATTACAATTAATATTTAATGAAGGTTTAAAATTTGAAACTCAGGAAATATTATTTCAAAAAGGTATTCATTATATGATGATGTAAAATCATTTCTAAAATATAGCTGGAGAGATCCTTTGCTGAAGTTGGGGATGAATAAAAATCTTTTCAAGGAAAAAAGATGCTAATATACCTTTGAATATAGAACACAAACTTCTTTAAATGGAAAGGTATATTAACACATTGTGAAATGTAAAATAAAATACTTCTTTCATGAAAACATAGAACAATAAACCCTTGTGCGTAGAATAATAAACCATTTTCATGAGAACGTAGAACAATAAACCCTTGTCCGTAGAATGATAAACCTTTTTCATGAAAAGGTAAAACAATAAACCCCCCAAGTCAACCCGAACGCTCTTGGTACGCGCACATCACGCTTTGTACGCATAATACGCGTGTCGTCACATGTACGTGCGTGTACAACCCGTGTTTATCTGTACCAAGGGGGAACAAACTGATTTCGTGATTTCATGATTTCACATGGAGTTTTTGATTTCAGATGATTTCGAGTGATTTCGAGTGATTTCGAGTGATTTCAGATGATTTCAGATGATTTCAAGTGATTTCAAATGATTTCAGATGATTTCAGACGATTTCAAATGATTTCGAGTGATTTCACTTAGTAAATGTATTAATAGGATTTGTTTTTTTTCTCAAATGTTAGTTTTTTTCTATCTATTAATGTAAGTCTAGCTGTGTAAAGCGTGAATTAATACACAAAATACGCCGAATGATGTCAAAAAAAAGAAAGCGGAAATAGAATGAAAATGATCAATTAGTAGTTTTATTTCTTCTTTTCTTATAGAACAGGAAAATTATCGACCTTGTACACGCGATGAACGATTTGAGGATAATGAAGTTTTATCTTTTTCTAAAATCCAGCATGCTGCTTGCTTATGTAAATACTTATTTTCGTTGTTGACATTAACTTTAAAATATGAATGAGTTAGTTCTTGTTTTATATTGTCGAACAACCGTATTCCTTGATATGATGACACATTGATATCATCTGATACATCAAGATGATCATTTAATTCGAATTCTTCATCGCTATCATAGACCACATTCGATTGATCTTCATTATTTACTTCAATTTCTGAATCGATTTCATTACTTCCAGTTTCACTATTAATTTTGCCAAGATCTGATGACCAAAAATCATCTAATAATGATAGAACATTTCTACTCATTTCATCAACCGACATGAATTGTCCTTTCCGTAATAGAGTTTTAAGATTCATTTTACAGAAAAGATTAGAAGCATGCTTGTATGCTTTAAGAACAGCGTTTTCAATCGATTTTTTCGAAAGAGTATTTTTATCTTGTCGAGTTGAAACAACTTGATTTGTTTTAGCCAATTTATGATGTTGCTGGAATCGAAGATGATTTTCATGACTACTGCTTTTGATATTTTGTAAGGCTGTTAGTTTATTAGTACGCTTAAGAAACTGTAAAATTGTAAAGTTAACACCTGCTGAGGAAATACTTGATATTGCTCTAGCTGATCGAAACATTCCTTCACATGTTTGTGAATTCTGTAACGAAATATTCAGAGCTTCAAATGGCAGTTTTCCTTCACACACAAGTGTTGCTAAATAAATGAGAGAATGAGCATTAATCTCGACGCAAAAATATGACTGATAAGTAATAAAATATTGACGCTTAACTTGATATTTTGTCTTTATAACATTTAAATCTAAATTTAATAGTTGAGACATAATTAAATCAAGATCTTTCTTATCTTTTGAATCTATCCAAATGAGTCAAGGCCGAAATATGAATACTGATACCCAAGCATGGTAAATACGATCTAAAATATCTGTATTTTTGTCAATGTAGGCATATCGAACACTTTGAATAGCCTAAAAAAAGTCATTACTATAGAATGATGTTATGTATCAGATCAATCCTTCATGCTTGCGTTGACATTTATTGTATAGACTCCTCGTTTTAGAAATAATAAACCGATTTCAATGAATGCTAGAGGACACGCTTAGCTATGCAAAACTATCGTGTTTAAAGAGAAAATTATACTTTACAACCCTCGTATTTATTCGTTAAATCAAAATAGAAGCTCTTTTGAACTCTTTCAGAAGTATTTTAAAAGGCTATCGTATTCATAATAATGTATCACTTACTAGATAATTTATAGCTGTAATTTTTTATTTTATACATACTTGTAAATAAATGTTCAACGCAAACGAATTAGTTATGTTCTTAAGTAATATTAGTATATTATCATTTGAGATTTTAGCTGCTGAGTTGTAGTTTTGTCAATCTTTAGGATTGACATCTGAACAAACTAATCCATGATCAAGTTTCGAATAGTTGTTTATTAGGTTCATAAGTGGATCCATGTTGATAAGTTGATTGCCCAATAGTAGCGTAGCTGTTTCTGAGAGCAATCGATTTCTGAGCTTCGTACATATATGCATGGGATCCTGGAAGCATATATAAAGCTGTTCAGATTGAATAAAAAACCAGGACCATGATCTAGGAATATCTATATTAAGTAGGTCAGGATGATCTTGATAGGCGAACTGTGCAAAGAAACCTGAAGATGCTCTCATTGCTTGAAGATAACGACTATCACAATCCGTTGAAAATCCTAAAATACGAATGCCATTAACTTTAAATTCTTGGTAAATACGATGCCAGCGAGAAAGACCATCAATAGACTTGTATTTTTTGTCTGTTCCATAGACTGACAAAAGATAAGGTGAAGAATTTGACGAGTTCGAAATCGGTTGGACGAGATGTGCAGTAAGAAGCTTTGATTTTGATATATTAGAACACCATTCTTCCAAAATATTGAATAATTTTGTTGAATACGTGGTATTGATAGGTAATCCATAATTATCAAGTGGGAGTACAAAGCCGACGAATGTATCTGACGTAGTATCATAGGGTAATTCCATGGGAAACGTACCACTTTATACATGACTTTCTCAGAATTGGCTCAAACTTTCAGCGTTTGTAGAGCTCGATGAGCTGATCATTTTGATCATAAATTGTTAAAGGTTTTATTATGAATTAGGGAAGAAATGACCAAAATACTGTTTTCAGAAATTCTCAAAAGTCATGGTTAAAGTGAAAAGTTCTCATTTTTGCGAGAACATTTTCTCTTTTATTTCAAGAACAAAATGAAACATTTCATACATATTCTGATAGTCCGTGATCAGCTCTATCGAACCATATATGATACAAAATGTTTCCATTTTTTAAGAAAACTTTTTAATTCGGGCACAAAAAGTTCACTGCAACACAAACTTCATCTTCTAATAAAAAACCCCTTCCGAATTTGGGTGAATTGTGGTCTAGTAGGTTTTGTAGAGCGTCGAACGCTCTATCTTGTGGCATATAGAGCTCTGCAGCCGGTTTCGATTTTCTTGGATTAGAGAGTCAAAATGTTTATCTACTGCTGCTTTGTGAAGGTTTCAGTTCATATTTCTGAACTTTTCAAAAGAA